GTTTTGTCTTATTTTTTAGCAGTAAAAGGGGTTTTCCGGACGGAAGGAAGTTACTTGGTGAGAAAAAAAATATTGAAGTCGATAGAGCTCGTCGAGATCTACTTGGAGCCAGGAAGTCCTTAGTTGGAGCCAGCTTCACGGCGAATATTTTCAAGAAATACTCGAATCCTGACCTAAGATATCCTACGTGGTTTAAAACTGGCTAGTCCGAACTCAACCATAGTTCCTAATTTGCGACGCCATATATCCCTTGATATATTTTACTCGCATCGCTTTTTAACTTCATCAAGGCGGTGGAACATACCTAGTCTTTTTCTGAAAAAGGATTACTCTAAAAAAAGGTTCTTCCTTCGGGCACACGAGAAAACGCGTTTAAGTTTTTGCATACAACCTTGAGAGGTTTTTTAGCCAACCTCAAGAATTTTCACTTTTATAAGAAACTCTTTTAGGGTCCTTGGATTGGAACGAAACCTTGAGGGACTTTTTGCGAAACCCCAAAAGCGTTCTTATCGTGTGTGCATCGGAAGACACTTTTTACGTTTCGTATATTTGACTGAACCATTTAAGTATAGTCAAGGCTAGGGGTGCAACAGTGCAGTGTTAGTTCCGATCAAAAGAATTGTTCAGGCGGGTGTAGGTGAGATATTAGTAGATGTCGGAAAATTTAGTTCTTGTACAGAACTGAATGAACAAGAAATACCAGCGTTTTTTGCTCGAGGGTGTGGGTGTGGATCTTCAATATTCTCTATCGACATCCATACACACCCACACCCTAAAAATTCAATGCAATCTAGAATTCTAGTAGTAAAATTTTGAATTTTATAATTAGACATTACCATTCGGTAGAATTTAAATTTTCACAGTAGCTCGATTTTATTTGGTGCTCAATTTTTGATTTTTGTGGAAGGCTCTCTTATAGGAAGTAGCATGAATTCAAGTAGATTTTGAATCGATTTTTGCAAGCACATAATGCGACCATTATGCAGAAGATAGTATTCCAATAGTATGATGAACACTTTCACTACGTTCTTTATGCAGCATCTTTTCACTGGGAATTCAAAGATTTTTTATCGGACTTAAATTTCCATTTGTGAACGAATAAAAACGCATAAGCATTCAAAAAAATCTCCATATTTAAAAGCGTAAATATTGTAACTCGTTCAAATGAGTTCATAAATTGTAAAAGCGGCATTTTTACGGTGCCCTATCGTTAAAGCGGCGTTTTAACACATTTTTTAAAGGCATTTCTCTGACTTGGGCCCACACCCTCACCCTCAAGTGGTGCCAATATGAAGACATAATACAAAGCAGCTTATAAGATTGCCGCACATGTTACGATATTTCATTCTTTTTAACCAAACAAGTAATCTAGTTAAATATAGACTATTTGTAGGAGTGCCCAATATATTAATATTGTAGTGTATTGTTTCTATACCAATGCAGTTAATAAAGCATTTTTTACATCATCAAAAGTCTCTAGTATAGAATGTAAAATAGGGTTTTGATTTATATGTTTGTGTTTCTAGACTGTTATATTTAAACGAGAAAATATTAGAAATAGATTACAATAAGTACTTATACAGATAAAACAAATAGTCATATACTGCCCAATAAGCATACTAAGTTTACATGCACACAAAAGAAAAGCAAAAGATTCGAGTTATTGTCGTTGAAGTGCTTAGTATATACAATATTTTCAAATGGATTTTGGTTGATCATTTGTTTGTTGATTGATTGTTGCATAATCAATATAGTCATATAGGATTACACTGTTATCATGTGTTTTTAAAAAGGTTTTATTTTCAAGTGGATCTTCTGAATAAATATGATCTAAATCTTGAATTCTATCATGTGGATATTTTAAAATTGATTTATCATCATCGCTAGCAGAAGCTAAATTATGATTTAAATTTAATTTTACTTCATCGCTCTTATCGAATGAATCGACTGTTGAAGATTTTAATTTTTTTCCTCCGAATGAATGGAATGTTTCAGTTAAATAACGAATACGACGATCATTACGACTAAATGCATTTTTTTAAATATTAAAAATAAAAGAAGTTATGTACACTCAGTTACCGTTTGTATAACAGAACACCACAGGTGATGACGACAAGAGCACCAGAAAGAAGAACAACCAGTAAAATTAAGCCAGTATTATCTAATTTATGAAATCAATTTTAGTCTTTTAACTTCAGTTCGAATTACTTTCTCGTCGATTAACTAGTGTAAGTCCAGCTATTTTTTGTTGCATTGAACTTTTAGAATTATCATCATCATCATCATCAGAGAAAACATTCACAGCTGTGCTTGGTATTAATTTTGTTGTTGTGGGTGGTCGAGAACGACGAACCGGTGTAACTAGAAGATTCATAATAAATGAGTGGAAGTCAATTTCAAACAGCCTGTTACAGTATAGTTAAAATCAATCTTTGCGTCATCTCATCATTTGCAGCATGACTACTATATATTTTTATAGTGAGCAATGCTAAAAATCTATTCCACATGATTCTTATTTTTTTTTATATTTAAATTTCTATTTACAATAGGTCGGCTTGAAACTAGAACACCTTCAGTAATTCAATATAGAAAAAGAATCCGGTCTATTGTCAACGCAGAGATAGGCGGTTTGAATTGTTGGGAAAGTCAATATCTTGAGGATTTATTTGTAAATATAGCCGGATGGAAACGATATGGTCTATCTGACGTGAGTGTGTACAGAAGATTTTCCCTTTCGATATGTTATATCATGATAATCTGAATGGAACAATACATTTTCATATTCTTTTTCTACATTCATGAATGAGCAAATTATTTTACCAATGAAATAAAGTAAAAATCCATTATATGATCGTTTGATATTCGATGAATCTGATTTAAACATTAATGATGCTTCAATAACATCATCAAATAAAAGAGTAAACGGTGATCGTGTACCATATAATTTTTCTCCATTATTATTGATTTCTAACCAGTCAGTAATACGTGTAGTACTTGTCAAACGAGTTATACTGATACTTTCAATATCAAAATCAATGGCATAAATCTTCAGTCTAAAAAATCAGTTCTTTGTTAAGTAGCTTTAAATCAATATCGAATAACTCACCGATGACTAGCATCTGGTGTTGATATTTTCTTCAAGCATGTCAAATTATCCAAATAATTGTTTGGATAATTTGGTGTATGAATAAAGCCTTCTTTGAGATCATCAACAGATTGTAATGAACAAATATCAATGGGAGGTAATTGACTTGACTCAAAATCTAAAATTAATGCTGAGTTCATCAATAATTTTCTAGAGAAATTTTCTATTAACTTACCAGGAATACATGAATATTCAATATTGATGCTTTGCCCTTTAAAAGCACAATTAGCTTGTTTACCAGAAAGAAATGATGGCCGATTTTCAACACTATTGTCTATAGTACATATCTGTTTTCCATTACAATGAGTACTTGCTCGTTCTCGATGATAGCCAATACAGCGAGATGGCGGATACATTGACGTGCCATTTAATTCTTTATTTAGATTTGGACATTCAGATGAATAGATTACTTCGAGAATGACAAGTTTTTCAGATGGAGAACATGTCAATGTTATCGATGTTTCACATGTATAACCAAGTTGTAAGGATTCTAAAGCAATAATTAATATAAAAATAATATGAAAATAATAAATGAATTAAATAAACTTACGAGAAGAGTAAAAGAAAGTCAATGTAATGAAAACGAAAAATTGGATCGAAATCATTCTATCTAAAATGAAACATAGTGAATGAGAAAACCCGTTTTGATATTAAGACAGTAGGCACGAAAAGTGAAGAAGTTTAATAATCATTTCTATGACGTGAAGAGCAGTACTGTGATATGGACTCTCGGCATGTCATTGAAAAAGAAAAGTAAATGTCTTTGTTCAAGTACAATGTGAACCAATATTTTAAATATCTTATCTCAATTTTTTTCTCAACGCAGTTGATATAAAAAAAAAGATAGAAGACATCATTTTTGTTAAATAAACCTTAATAATTCGGCTGCATATAAGACATTATCGCGGTCAAGATCATCGTGAAGAGAAAGGACGAAGCGACTTTTTTTTCTTATACTATCGTAAACTGATAACTAAAGTCATTCTCAATAAAATAATAGATCTAATTACATCTAAATTTGTTCAGCTGTGGGTAGATTTTCAAAAGAAGAAAATTTCCTAGCTAAATATGTATATTTCGGAACCTAAAGGGATGAAAAATTCAAGTTTCAGAAAATATCAGAAGCTTTCGTAATTACTGCAATATTATTCACCACATGGCAAAAACAGAATAAAGTAATTTTCCAGAAATTTGAGAAATGACAGAGATTACAGAGTTACATCAAAAAGAAAATTCCATAATTTCCAGGTACTAACCGAAGTTATTAGAAAATCTACTTTTTTGTGTTCTAATTTACTTTCGTATTATTAGCTATTTCCGAAAATAACGGGAAATTTCTGTTGGTACTCTTTAATGTCATTTAATGGTGAGAGAGAAATTTATTATTTTTGGAAATCGGAGCATATCTCTTAATACAACACGTATAGCTTAAACTATCTAAAAGTATATTCTGTATCTTTATATATTTTACCCTAGCATTAAAACCATTCGAAATTCATAAAAAAACAGTACATAAATACGGATTGTATATGAGAAATCAAAACCAATAAAGTACAAAATGCAAACATACGTACAACATTATGACCACATAAAAATACATTTTTCCAAAAAGAAAAACAAAAAACAACTTAATGTAAAATAAATATTATAATTTAACTGTTGTACATCGAACAATGATGTAAAATATCTGTAAGGATTCGTCCAATGTTTCGGTCAATAACATTCGATATTGATAAATTTAATATACGATCTTCATATTTTTTCAGTATTTCAATATTATCTTTATTATTAACCATTGCTAATAAGCATGTAGCTGCTCGAGTCAACATATCATTTGTCGTTAATAACATATTTTCTGCTTCTGATGTATTTATTAAACGTAAAACATAATCGGAACCATAGCGTGTTATTAGTTCATTAGTTTTTTTATCATAATCTTCTAAAAAATCAATTAATAATGATACTGTATATGGAATATGTGCAATTATATGAGCAATGTTTGAATCACATCGTATTAATGCATTTAATAAAACTATTGAAAATTCACGCTGAATATATGCTTGAGATCGATATATATTTGTAGACAAATTTGATACAATACTATTCGCATTACTAACATTTAACCAATCAATTAAAATATGAACTAAAGATATTATACAATTAAATGAGGGTGTCGCCAAAATGAAATCCATATTCATATCGTGTACACTTAATTTAGTCAAAATTTCAATCGATAAATGTTGAGCAGAAATATGCAATGATTGTAATTGTTCAATGGTTTCATCTGAATAACATGTTGACCAATATAATAGACCATTGATTAATTCATTGATTAAATTGGAATCATATGTATTGAAAATAAGAAAACTTGCAATATTAGCTACAGTGACTAGAGTATTTTCACGAATATTCATTAGACATTCAGATAAAGAAAACGATGATGTTGTGTTTTGATTTTCATTCTAAATCAAAGATAGTAAATTATTGTGAATGTTTGTCGCATAGAAATATTTCTATAGAATTAGTATGAAGTATGCTTTATTTCTAAAGCAATTTGTAGAATTAACTGGTGTCATTTTCCTAGCTCTTTACATAAGCTAATTGATTTATTGGAGATAATGACTTCTCAAATTTGTACTGATTAGATAATATCAAAATAGTTGAAATTCAAACTATTAAAAGCATCTGGATGGAATTATTTATGCAGCATTAACGAAAGAAAAAAAACAGAGAACATAGATTACCTTTAATGAATCATCGTTAATAACTTGATCATTCGACAATTCTTTCATTTCTTTATTGGACAAAGTATTTATTTTATTAGTATGATTAATGTTGTTTCCAAGTAATAAAATACGAGCTAATACGTGAATTAATGTTTTACATTCAACCAATTCAATATCATTGCCTGGTATAAAACTTAGATTTCGTAAAATTGACGATACGCATATACAACGAGAACATATTTGATCATAACCAGATGAATACTTTGTAAATAATGTTAATTTATTGTCTTCGTGATCGTTCAATTTAAGAAAAGAATTAAAATCTCTTGTACATTTATTAGAATATAATTCATCAGTTGAAAATTTTCGTTTGTAACGTTGAAAAAATTCTTTATTATCGTCTATTGTATTCAGTAACAGATCAGATTTCTCATACTGAGATTTTATAGGATCACTGTCAGATGTTTCAGAATATTTATATGACGATATATTGAATTCTTTTATCAAGTGTCCATTATGCTTATCCAATGACAATGTATCATTAGAATGATGATGACCATAGTAAAGATTTTCATAATACTTATCATCTTTATGTATTGGATCAAAATGAGTTTGTATATAACTTAAATCATCTGTATTTTGAAGATCTAAAACCTAAGGTGAACAAAAGAAACTCAATATTTAAGCTTTCGTATTCAAGCGAAATAAAATGAATACGTACCTCTTCGGGATTATTTTTTAGATTGCCATGATCATCATAGATATGTTCGATAATTATATTCTGTTGTTTATTATATTTTTGTTGATATTTATCTAAATAATTTGATTCAATACGATATATAATTGAATCGTGTTTTTTCCTATGTTGATATTTGTTTGCTGAATCATTCAAAATTTGCTCATTTTCGACTATAAATTCATTAAATAATTGTGCTAAACATTTACTATAAATATCAACAAGTGCTTGTAATAGACCCGGCATTTGTTTTAATTGTAGATGTTTATGTGCTTCATCATCGTTTAGCATTATATTAATAGTATCTAATGCCCAGCTAGTTTCAGCTAGTAAACCACCACGCAACGACATTTGTAGCTTCATTGAATCAATGAATGCTAGAAGACAAAACGAACGTCAATCAAATAAAATAAATGATAATAATACATACGAATATCTTTGGCAGTTAATTTTTTTCGTTTAATTTTTGATGAAATAGTTGTTGCTTCAATAGAACCGATTGGAAACAAAATAGATTTTGATATGGAATTTAGATTGGATACATCTTGTGATCTTTTTGCAAGCTGTCCAGTTATAGTAGGAACTTGTTGTAATTGACCATCGGCACTGAAAAAGAAAAATTCATAGAAGCCTAACGTTAGAAAGTTTTGAATAGTTTGATCCGTCTTCATATTTTTCTCAAGTTCCAATATTTATGATCACAATAGAGCGATAATAAATTTCAATAGTCAAACAATTTCGAAATAATATCAATCTACAAAAATTCGAATAATTTCTCGGTACTCGTGCGAAGGATCGAACCGAAACTATGATCAATGATATTTAAATGGTATCGTTACTGACGAAATTGACAGTTGTCATTTCTGATCCTGAGTTAAATATTGTAGAAAATCGAAAATTGCTTTTAGCTTGTTAAGTTTAAAGAAGAGATGTTGAACTAAGTATCTTTCACTGCAAACTTGCAGGTCGATTGTTTATACCGTTACTGAGAACAAGGCTAAGTTAACAAAAAGTGAGAGAGAAAATTGTAATACAGAAGTTAGATGGATAAAAATACCAGATAGAATATACGAAAATCTTAGAAGTGACAATCTGCTACTAGAAATGTTTGTAACCAATGAAAATGATTACTAAACTTCTTGTGGTAGAAATTCTCTATTTTATATTTCAACCTAAAAACACACATATCCTCCTGGACCTGAAAAAAAACCAAAAAGGCCAGATCTAGCTCTATCCATTGTTATTATTTTCATACGAAATAACTAAGTATAGTTTCTTCTTAAATATATTGTTGTTTTACCTTGAATTAGACGCACGAGAGATTAAATTGAACGATTGTGACGTTTTGGACACAAGTGGTACAGTTGTTTGATATTGTTGTAATGGTAAATTATCAATACGACTAGTCCCCATTGACGAAGATGGACTTGATAGTGACATTGGTTGATCTTGAATTGCTACTAATTTGTTATCATTTTTCTTGTTGACTGTTTTTAAACGTTGTTCTTGTGTTTTATCAATTTCTGTTAATGTCGCATCAGGATCAATACCACCTCGGTCATATTTACATTCATAATGAAATAATTTAAAATTAATATATTTTTGTTTAAGATGAAAAGGTGCGGTTGAAGTTTTCGGGATGTTCAATGTCGATGCAATATCACGCCAATGACGACTTTTTGCTACTTTTGAAAATTGTTCAAAACCATTTTGTTCACGAATACAAACATATAAACGATATAAATCAATTGTTTGCCGAGATATGCTTGGTAATTTTCGACAAATCATATGTTCTTCTTCCCATAATCTTTGTAAGCGGTCAACAAATAAATTTCGTTCTTGTTCATTACCCATTTCGCGTAATTTATTGAATACTTCAATTGAAGTAGTTTTATTAATCTTGCGTTTTTGAGATTTTTTTTCATTTAAAACCGATGGGCTTTTATCGGAGTAAGATGAATTGCTTGACTCTAGATCATCTGGAACATGGGACGATATACTAGTGCAACTTGGAGATTTACATAAATTATTGGATTGAATTGGTTTAGTCTTGAAAGAATTATTATCATTTTCCTGTATAGTTAGAATATGAGATTCATTGATTGGCGATTGACCGTACATTGGTGACTGAGAATTACAAGAATAAGCATTATTCGAATCTAAATCAACAGCATTCGTAGATGTAGAGGTCGACTGTAGTGGTGGGGGTGGTAGATAAACATTTGATTCATTCGAATGAGATGGATAATTTATCTGTTGAAGATTAGACAAGACGGTTCCGGATGCAGAACTCATCTCCTTTTGATATAATGATTGATAAGCACTAGCGTTCGATGTTGATAAACTATTATTGATCATAGTAGGATGATTAGGCGAATATTGGCGTGCTCCATTGCTATCATACATGTGATCTATTATGAATGAAGAAAAAAAACGAAGTCATTAATATATGTTACATTCGTTTCTCGTGTAATGGTTGTTTCTATTCATGATTAAGATATAATTTTTAATGGCAAACCTCCTTTTCGTTGTTGTGAATAGTTTGAATATAGTTGCTGCGATTTCGATATTGGACGAGTTGTTGACATCAAGGTTGGGTTGTTGTAACCGAAACTACCTGAAAATATCTGATTTGTTGGCATCATTGTATTGAAATTCTTATAATCATTCGATCTTGTTCTTGAATTCTAACGATACATAGTCAAAAGTTACGCCATTGTACATGGAGAAGCCAGCATAAATTAATGTGATACTTACCAAATCATGTATCGAAGGTGCCAATTGAACACCTGTTGATGAATATGGTGACGGCTAAAAAGAAAGATTCATGAAATCAATTTCTATTCTTATTGATTATGTAAAAAAAATACCTGAATATGATTTTCGCCATAGGACATCGCTCTGGTCGGTGATTGTTGATGTTCATAAGGACCACTATTCGATGTGTAGTATGGATTTGACCGTGATTCAGATGTTTCATAAGATGGAAACTAAAAGATTTTTATTCGATTTATTTTCTTCATCGTATAAACTTACTCTTTGATGAGAAGAATGCACAGGATATGAAGGATATTGATTCATCATTGGAGTTTGCGGAGTTGTCATACTATAATTAGTTGAACCCCTAATTGGACTTGCCATCATGGTCATTTGTTGGTTTTGATTATTAATGGGAGTATTAGAATAAAAATGGTTCGCTGCGTCGTAGGACATTTTAAATCAAAATTATGAAAATTGTTTTAAAACATTTTATTGATTTGAAAAGAAAAGACAACAAGAAGAAAAAACCTGTCACGGTTTGTCTAAAACGAAAAATTCAAGAATTTTGAACAGTAATTCAGATAGAAACCGTCAAGAGATTTTCTTATTGGATATTTCTTTCAATATTCATCGATTGAATATTCAAAGAAAACGATTAATACAACAGTTAACTTTAGCTTCCTATCCTATAATTCTTTTTGATTACTCAACCATGATGGAATCGTATGAACCTCTTTTCCGGGTATATAATCGGATTGGTTCAATTTTCTTCCTGTAGAAGTCATTATTTTATGGATGGAGATGGAGCCAATGTTTCCAATTCCAATAGCAAGTGTACAAAACGGAAGTAAAATGCACAGAGCATCTACTAATTTTGATTTCTGAACATGAAAAGCTGCACATAGCATCGAATTACACATTATGCTTAAATGTTGGTAAAGTGTGATCTGCCACGTTCAATTCTATAATTGACTGAATAGAGAAAAAACTGGCATTTTGTTTTGTTGTTGTTTAGATGTCCATCGGAAACACTGCATAGTATAATTACGTGAACGTGATTCAAGTGTTTCATAGGATGAAAATTTCATAATTTTATTCGATTTACTTTCTTCATTGTCAAAGCTCACTATTTCATGCAAAAAATAGAGAGAATATGACGGACTTGGATTCATCATTGGAGTTTGCGGAGTTGTCATACTATAATTGGTTGAACCCCTTCTAATTGAACTTCCCATCATGGGCATTCATTGGTTTTTAGTATTGGTGGGAACATTAACATAAAAATGACTGATGGAGTCATAGGACGTATTTTAATCAAAATTATGAGAATTTTTTAAAAATATTTATTGATTAGAGAAGAAAAGTGAAAATCAGTACTTTAAAACTTTTATTCTAAGAGAAATTGTCAAAAGAGTTCTTCTCGTCGAATGAGAGTGTCTAATGTTGATCGATCGTATTCGGAAGAACATGGCATTATCGCAGTAGTTGCCAGCGTTTTCATGAATCGGCTCTAGTTATTTCGACTAATCAGTCACGATAGACTCAAGAAAGCCTCCACTTTGACATATATATAGCGGTATGATTCAATTATTCGCTAGTTCCAGTTGTTGTTGCGTAGAAAATATAATAGCATTGCAACTTAAGAATGGATTTATTTATATTTAGGATAAGATATAAACAAGTATAGTTATAGTTTATTGGCAATTCAATAACCAATCAAAACCAATAATGAAAATTAACGTAATTACATTGATTGACTACAGTTTTTCTTTTAGTAGGTTGCCGAACACAATTAAAATACGCCAAAACATTTTTTCCCATGTAAATTTAAACCAAAATATTTTTGCATACTACTTGTCTTCATAGGATTTGTGCACGTTTCTCTTTCAAAAGAACGGAGTATCTCAGTGTGTGATGAAGTTTTGTTAATAATCTGTTAATGAGAAAATTGATTATGGATACGAAATAAAGTTGGTAGGCGAAATGTATATTTACGTTTTATTCCAATGATAAATTCATCAGGACACAGCATTATAGAAATAATTCATTTTAAAGAATAAAATTGAGTTTCTTTTTGTGTAATAAATAATTAAAAAAAATCCTCCCTCTACATTTTGCGGTACTCTACTTACAAAATAAATATGTACAAAAATAGGTTGCTTTAATCTTCCATCAGAATTTCTAATTGAATACACTGTTTACAATAATAAGTGTACTAAACAGTAATCAGACAAATAGAAGGGTTTCCAATGTATTGTAACACTTTTATTTGTTTGCATGATGTCCTCGTTTACCTTCTTTCATTCTGTATGTAAGTAAAAACAAAATCCCTATGTTTTAACCGCAACCCCGTACTCATACAACTACGTAAAGGCTATGCGTTTTTTTTATTAACTCAATACTATTATGAGTTCTTTTTGTTGCAGATTTATTTTTTTAGGGGTAATGACTAAAAAAAATGAGAAATATTGGTAAGTCGTTCATAGTTACTACACAATTTCGAATAAGTCACGAAGACTGTTTGCTTTTTCTATGATAGACACAATCCATGGTATTTAGAGATTAGCTGTAGCAAGTATGTCGTCTGATTTGTGAATTTTTTTGTTCAACAAGAAACTTCCATCTTATGCATTAAATATCTAGAATCTAGTCAAATATATTTTGTTGCCGTTTAAACACATGCTTTTTTGTGTTCTAGTATCATTATCAAGATCATATAGCTTTCAAATACAAGTTAAACTACTTTGCTCAATATGACTGGGCTGCTTTACTTAAGCGAAGTAGAACTGAGACTGATTTTCAATAGGTTTTAACTGATGCTAAATCTACACTGAAAACTTACACTAACAATGTCTATGCAGTATACATGATTTTTCACAGTGAACAATGTCAAATGTACAGTGAGCGTCAAAATAAACAAATTGAAAACTTTGAAAGTTTATATTTGAAGAGTTTTTCTGAAAGCACCTTCATTGACTCTGTTGACTTACTGAAGTTTCTATGACGATTACTACGTAATTATGATTAGAGATCAAAGGAAGTGAGCAGGCTACATAGTATTCAGTTTTAGAACACTTTACATTTTCAAAATCTAATTCATATTATTCCTTAATCAAACAGAAGATCCTAAAATCAGCAGCAACGTTTAGCAAGAGTTTATTTTATTGAACGAAACAAAACAATAGACTTTTATTTTATTTTGAATCTTCTGCTGATTTACAAATCAAAGCTGCTCGTGTGAGTTTTCATTCTCTTTTTGCTAAAACGAATTTAGTGTTTACTTTCATCAATAAATAAGGATGTGGGTAGAGGCATGAGATGCTTTCTTGATCTTAATTATATTTGATCTCACTTATAACTGTAATCACTGTGAATACCTCGACCCTTGGTTACGCGTCCATTTTTTCATTTTATTGTTTTTATATCAAGAGCTTAACCGTCAAGTGAACTATTTAATTGTTGAGCAAAGCAACCTCTGGAGCATGCGAATAATTGAACTGTAGAAGTGTAGATTTCAATTGAAGAAAAAACCGTCCCTCTTATTCAAGTTCTGTTTCGTTTTCTAGTTCTGTTTGAGTGTTGGTCCATATCTTAGTGTGCAAAGAAATTGAATAATGAGTAATCATTTTGATGCATGGAGATGAAATAAAGATAAGTTGACTTTATTTGTGATAGTTCATAAACGATTGAATTGATTTCAAATGTGACTCGAAAATCTCTTCTTTCACGTGAAGCTTAGGTTCTTTGTGAAAATATATCTCGTCGACTGTTTTACTTACCTAAGAAGTTGGATTTAACTAAAATGTTTTATCGAAAATTTTGAATACATTGTTTCATAATTTTTATCTCAAACGAAATCTTTCTTCTCAATGGTTGATGGAAATATTTCAAGATGAATTTTCTCTCATATTTTTCATGTAACTTGATCTTTTTACAGACACCATACTGCAGAACATCCAATGATAAGCATATGTATCATAATTGAATAGCTCGAATTTTTTTCTATGAAACTCTTCGTATAAATCTGCCCATTGATTATCAGACAGATACCATTGGTAATGCTCAGATTGACGTAACGATCGTACATTGTCGAAAGACAAATTTCAAGATTCTTTTAAAGTACTTGGTACTGCTTATAACTATCTATCATAAATAGCTAGTCAGGCTTTACTCACTATTCGTTAAATTAGAAATAAGTAATTTTAAAGATTACTTTTCTAAAAATTTATTTTATCAATGTTTTACCGGTAACTACTCCCACTAACAGATTTAACATCGACATTTTAGAAAGCACTCTTCTGTTAAATTGAATTGGCCTACTTTACATCTACAGTCAACTGTGTTCTTCTTCAACTGTTTGAATTAGAACGATTAGTTGATATTTTGTGATCAATTGCAAAATTTACCAGATCGGCTATGGTAAATGCATTTGTACGAAAATTTGTACCAATCGTTAATTTTATGATCGCAACAGCTGCTCTCGCATTTCAAGTTGGTGTTTTATATCCTTGGCATCGTCACCTTGAGCAGCGATTCAATCAATTAGAGAATAGTCAAACGGAGAAACTTGACACCTACCACAAAGTAAAAATGGAAACTATCAAGAACATCGAGGATAAAGTTTTGATATTACACGATAAATTAAAACCGTCCGATTCAGTCATATGATTTATTCTATCGAATGATATTTTTTTCCTAATGATTTTCCCCTGTGATATCCTGTTGACTTAGATTTCTTTCTACTTAAAAATTCCTTTTTGTTTGATAGAATATGCAAAAAATCTCGAAAAATTTGTCATGGACTTATCAATTTTCATTCTTGTTGTCGCTTAAACCCTACAATAGAATTCGAAGAACCTATTTCATTAATTTATTTTTGTATCGGTTTTTTTCCTAACCACTGTAATTTCCAGTAAACAAAAATTGTAAATCCAATAGATAAACTATATCAAATCGAACAATAAAATTTTAAAAAATTGAACTAAATCAACAATCATAAAATATCATGACAAAAAATAAGATCGATTTTTGTACAATATTCTCTCCTTCATAATTTAGTGTGTTTTTCATCAACTCAAGACTACTCCAAAGATAAATTAGAGAAAAATAAACAATAAAACATGAAATGCTGTTTAAAGTAAATCAAATACAAAAATTATAGCACGTTTTTATTTTCAATTTTTACACACAATTAGTATATTATGAATATAAACGAACTGAATAGGTATGATTAAGTATGGTTTTAGCTTTTTTGTCACAGAATTTTCTTTGAAAATAACATTCTATTTAAAATTATGAAATATGTCCTAAGTCATTTCTGTAAATAGAAACAAAAATGAATGTCATTTCATGTGAGACGCTTTCTTAGCTATATTTGTCTCCCAAGTGCTTATAATACATTCCGGTTACTTCAAAACTATCTTTTTTTATTTGATACTCATTCATATAAATCT